CATCCCCAATACTTTCTCCAGGAAGCCCTCAGAATTTTCTTTTCACTCTTAATGGCCTTGCTCCTAGGGGATCGCTACGTTGCTGAATCTCTATCCTGCTGGGGCACTAAGTCATAGGCAGTTACAGGGCCTGGGAGCCCTCTCCAAGGTGGAGATAGTGGTAGCTGGGTCATGCCTCACCTCTGCCCTCGTGGCCTTCACTTGCTCACTGCACATCCCACCAGGCATCTGTGCTTCTGGGTATAACCAGGCTGCTCATCGCAAGCATTCTTTATCCACTCAACAAATACGTATTGAGTACTTTCTGTATGCCACGGCCTATGTTGGAATCAAGAGATCCGTGGGGGCATGGGCAGTGTCTATCTTATTTATGTATGTTTCCCCAGCACCCAACAGAGAGCCTGGCACACAGAAGGTATTAAAAAAAACATTTGCTACTAACAATATTATCACTACTATGGGAATTCTTATCTCAGCTCACCCCTTGGCCACAGCCCAGAGAAAGGCAGGGAGGGCATGAGGAGGCCAAGGACAGGGAAGACTTTAGCTTTGCTGCCTTGGAGACCACACCCAGTGGCCCTGTCCTTCAGGAGAGCCCCAAGTGTATCAGGGCACTGTGCCCAGGTACTCTGTGCCCAGCCAAGTCTGTCCAAGGTCAGAAGAAACCACAGTGCGTTTTCCTCAATGGGCTGGCAAATTCCAGCAGAAGCAGATGCCCTTGGGAGGTGGCCTTGAGGCTGAGCCTAGGGAAGGAGAGGGAAGGGCGAACAGGAACAACCTTAGGTTGAGGTTAAGGCCAACTCAGTGGACTGCCCAGCCTTCGGTGGGGGGTGGGGTGAAGTTGATGGAGCAGTCCTTGAGAATACCTTCCTGTGAGGTATTAGGCCAGGGAACTCAGACCCAGCCCTGCCCTGGCACAGTGGCCAAAACTCTCTGGGTGGAGTCTGGCCCATTTAGGGTCAACTACTAGGGGTCTCCTTGAAGGCCCAGCTCCTTCCTCCTGGACAATAGCCTGGATTCCAAGGGGATTGGAATCCTTGATGGGCTTTCCTCTTCATGGGATGCCCAGTCCAATCCAGGCTCCCAGAGGGCAGCAACAGAAGAATCTGAGAAGCCCCCATTATTGTGTTGCCTGTCTAACCCAGCTCCAGGTCCCAGGGCGTCTGGCCACCCAGGGATCTGCTCTCCAGGAGGCCTGCTGGTCAAGGTTAGAGCCTGTGAATCTGTGGGATGGAGGGATCGGGGGCAGGGCTGGATGGGGCAGCCTTCTACAGGGCTAGGACTTGGCCCTACAGTGACAGGGAGCCAAGGCAGGTCCTAGGTAGTGTTTGAGGGGCTCTGAAAGACAATCAGGGGCATGGACACCAAACCACATCCAAAAGGAAGGTGTGGGGTGCTGTAGCCTGTGAGGCAGGTTGAGGGCTGATGCCCCACATATCCTGGGATGACAGTCAGTCAAGGAGGCAACAAAGCTGGCTTTTGAGCTGCGTGTGTGCAACAGAACACACAAGGGAGGGTGTGTCTGTAACAAAGGGAGTTTCCAGGCTCTAGTTTTGTGCCATTTGATCCCTCAAAAAACATTTATTGAGTGCCTGCTGTGTGTCTAGCCTAGACCTGATGGACGAGCATTGGAACTGTGGTGGGGACTCCCCACACTGCTGCTGCCCTGCCTCCTCTGGGGACTGAGAGGCCAGAGGCTCTAGAGGAGCGATTCTCAACATGTGGGTCGCGACCCCTTTGGGGGTCGAATGACCCTTTCACAGGGGTCAGCTAAGACCATCGGAAAACACATATATAATTACATATTGTTTTTGTGATTAATCACTATGCTTTAATTATGTTCAATTTGTAACAATGAAAATACATCCTGCATATCAGATATTTACATTACAATTCATAACAGTAGCAAAACTACAGTTATGAAGTAGCAATGAAAATAATTTTATGATTGGGGGTCACCACAACATGAGGAACTGTATTAAAGGGTCGCGGCATTAGAAAGGTTAAGAACCACTGCTCCAGAGGGAGGCAGTCTCTGAGGGTCCCAACAGGGACAAAGCTGATTGTGACAAATGGAGCCTAGTTACTGGCCCTGAGCCAAATTCCAGGGCCAACACAAACACAGAACCAATTCCCACCAGGAAACTGCGCCTTTGGGAGGACGAGTGACCACCCCAAGCTCACATAGCTTTTAAGCGGTTGATCTAAGCTTCTAAACAACGTTAGACCCCGTGTTGGTGACTTTATACTCTGCCCCTCGCACCAGGAACTAGACGTGTCTCAGTCATCTGCAATCCCCAACAGCAGCCCTGTCAGACCTGCTTTGTCGCTGTTTTCACAGAGAAAACCTGTCTGCGCTGGGGCCCAACAAAGGGACTGCCAGACAGCAGGGTGGAGGCTGGTTTACCCAGCTGCGCCCCAGGAAGCCCGGGCCCTGAGGCCTGAGGGTGGGGGGTTTTGGGAGGAGTGGCATCTCACACAAGGAGGTAGGCAGCAGGCAGGTGAGAGACAAAGGAGGCTCATCCCAGTCCAGGCAGGGAAATGACAGAACAGGCGGCCCATGTGATCGAGTGCTGTGCGACTGGGGGCTCAAGAGGCAGTTTTCACTGGCACTATGATCTCCCCATGCCTCAATGGTACCTCCATCCTTACCCTCCCTCCTACTTCTCTTTCAGGCTAGAGGGTGTAGGCCAAGCATGTCAAACTCAAAGGCTAACACAGGCAAAATAAACAAGGTTCAAGTTTATGTGGGTCACAAAAAAACAAAAGCTTCAATTTTCATAGAAACGTAGGTTTATTTCGATAGAGACATGCTGAATACAAAGGGCTGCAATAAATGAGTCATCATTAACATAAAATAATAGGACATTTCAATAAAAATTAGTATTTTTTCTTGAATATTAACTTATCAGACACTGAACAACTGCACAAATAAATAAGCGTAACACAAATAAACCTATTTTTCTTGTTCTCTGAAAGCGAAGTATTTCCTGTTGCGCACACCAAATAGGTCAGTAGAAGACTAATGACATGGCAATCAGCTGCTAAAATATTCGCTGCTAGTATTAGTGGAGAGAGATGATGCACCTGTGTGTAAGGCACGTAAGGAAAATTAACGCAACACGATTATCGTAATCAGTTATTAGCAAACATTGTAGTTCGTTATTAATAATTATGTATAACAGGATATTGTAAAGATTAAGTTAGGAAGTTTTTATGAAAACGTTTCTTACATACCGTTATATTGGCTGGGCCACAAAAATACTCATTGCGGGTCGCAAGTGGCCCGTGGGCCATGAGTTTGACATGCTTGGTGTAGGCAGCCTGTTCTAGGTCACTCAGCTTCCTGTAGCCCCCAAATAGAAGTCCAATCCATTGGTTCTCAGGTTTCCACCTTCCCCTGATAGTTGAAGAGTTCTAGCAGCCGGCCACGCTGGTCTCTATGTAGAGAAGGTGCCTCCAGCCCTGACTGGTTTGGCTCAGTGGATAGAGCGTCGGCTTGCAGACTCTAAGGTGCCTCTTTTACAAATCACTCCTTCAGGTAGAGAAGCAAAGGGAACAGGGAGCAACTGGACTATGTGCTCATTCGGTGCCTTGGACACTCACAGTCCTGGCCTGACCATCGCCATCTCTGGGTCAAGCAGGGGACAGAACCCTGCTCTTCTCGGCCCCGGGAGAGAAAAGTCTGCAGGTGCAGTTAAGGCTCTACCAAAAGCAGAGGGTTGATGAAGAGGAAACGAGCATGGGATGCAGCACAGGAATCCAATTACCAAGGCTCCTCAGACACATGGCTAGTCGTCTGTCAGCTTGGGACTGACTCCTGGCACAGCTTAGCCCTGCCCCAGGCCACCTATCTAGAGACACCTACGTTCAGCAGCGGCCTGGCAAGGACACTCTTGTCTCTTGGCTGAGGAGCCCTTTCCACTTCCTGGCACCAGACTGGCATCCAGGGCCACTCAGAGGGCTGGAGAAATCTAGGCCATTTCCATATTTCTAGGCTCTCAATAAAATGCAAATGGAGGAAATGTGAAAATAGTGTTTTCAGAATTATAGCATATGCACCAAAAACAAGCAACCATCAAACAATCTAATTAAAAATTGAGCAGAGATCCTGAATAGACACTTCTCCAAAGAGGACATACAGATGGACAATAGAGATATGTAAAGATGCTCAACATCACTAATCATCAGAGAAATGTAAATTAAAACTATAATAAAATATCACCTCACACCTGTCAGAATGGCTGTCATCAATAATTCAACAAACAGCAAGTATGGCAAGGGTGTGGAGAAAAGGGAACCCTCGTACTGTTGGCGAGACTACAGATTGGTGCAACCACTATAGAAAGCAGTATGGAGTCACCTCAAAAAATTCAAAATAAAACTGCCTTATGACCCAGTGATTCCACTCCTGGAGGTACAGCCAAAGAAGCCTGAAACGCTAATTTGAAACAATATATGCATTTTGTTCATTAAAGCATTATTTATAATAGCCAAGATATGGAAGCAGCCTAAGTGCCCATCAGTAGATGAGGACCCAGTGATTCCACTCCTGGAGGTACAGCCAAAGAAGCCTGAAAATTTGAAACAATATATGCATTTTGTTCATTAAAGCATTATTTATAATAGCCAAGATATGGAAGCAGCCTAAGTGCCCATCAGTAGATGAGTGGATAAAAAAGTGGAGGAATATATATATATTACTCAGCCACAAAAAAGAATGAAATCTTATTATTTGAGACAGCATGGACGACCTAGGGGGTATAATGCTAAGTGAAATAAGTCTGTCAGAGAAATACAAATACCATATGATATGTGGGATGTAAAGAACAAAAGAACTGAACAAACAAAACTGAAACAGACTTATAGATACAGAGAACATACTGATGGTTTCCAGAAAGAAGTAGGGGTTGGGGGATTGGGTGAAAAAGGTGAACGAACGGGTTAAGAAGTACAGATTGGTAGTTATAAAATAGTCACGGGGATGTTCAGTGCAGCATAGGGAATATAGTGAAGAATATTGTAATAACTATGTATGGTGCCAGGTGGGAACAGGAAATATTGGGAGGAGCACTTTGTGAAGTACATGATTGACCACTGTGCTGTACACCTGAAACTAATACAAAATAATACTGAATGTAAACTGTAAAAATGAAGATATTTATTTAAAATAGAAGGATATGAATCTGTGTTATTGCAGTTTTCTTTTTTCATATATGAAGCCCTTTTGGAAGTTGTATAACTTTTTCATTTTGTAGGAGAAAAGCACTGAAGCACTGGCTCAGACATATGTAGGTTTGAACCCTAGTCCATCACTGTATGAACTTGACACATACCATTTCTAGCCTGTTTCCTCAGTGAGGTAATTCAGATAATACTAACTACTGGAATTGGCATAGTAAGTCACAGCACCAAATAAATACTCACTGGTTACTTAGAAATAGTAGCTATTATTATAATGATTCATTCATACAACAATATTAAAGGGTCATTTAAAAACCAAGCACTATTTAAGGTACAGAGAATAAGGCCAATTTCATGGAATCCTAGTGTTTGTGGAGACTATAGTCTTTTAAATTGTTGGTATTCAGGTTGAGTGGAGCCAGCAAAAATAGACAAGAGTTTGTTTGAAGATCATTGGTTATCCCCTTAGCTTCCTTATGTTTCCCGACAAAATGCCCTAATAAGATCATATAATCCCAACCTCTCTCACCTTGTAACCGCAACATTAAGTGATGGTGTCGTCATTCCCCTGAATAGAGAACACCTTAGGGTGGGAGGGAGAGGAACATGTAGCTGTCGGTAGAATAGTGGGTTATTTATTATCTAGGTGTGGAGTGGTTGTTATTGTTGCTGTCGGTGTTGTGGTTGTTTTCTAACCTTTTTGCCTGTTTGTGTTTAAAGTGATAGTCATACCATGCTGACGTTCTGCTTTGGAAAAAATATTTTCAATACCTGTAAAATATTTTCAGTACCATTTTCATAAGTAGGTAACTATCTCCCTACACCTATTGGCTTGGTAGGGCAATAGAGCCAAAGCTGTTTCCTCCCATTGACTATTAGTACACAGCGCAGTCTGCTGTTTTTATTCTTCCATAGCAGAAGGGTAAATGTGCAAAAAGCTGGAAAGTGTATTCTTTGGCAAGTAAAGAAAACAGAGGTTTATGCCCAATTTCCAAAAGAATCCTATATAATAAAAACCCAGCAACTGTAATGGCAGAATGACCATAATGACCAGAGACCGGATGACCATGGTCCCACGCCCCAACCAGCCTCACCCCCCAATAGGGACTCCCCAGATTGGGAGTGGGGCCAAATGGCAAACCACCCCTGGCCCCTTGCCCTGGCAGGCCTCACCCCCCCAGCGGGGCCCCCACCCCGATCTGGGGCCCTCACCCATGCAGCAGGTCTCTATCCTATATAATAAAAGGGTAATATGCAAATTGAGCCTAATGGGACAGGTTGGCCAGTCACAATGAAGCACACTGACCACCTCTTGGTCCCTTTCCCGCTCTGGCAGGCTTCCATCGCCCGATGGTGAACAGGGAGGGTGGTGGCAGGGGGCGGGGCCAGCTGTCAGCAGCTGGGGAAGATGGCCCTGATCACAGGCCAGGCCTAGGGACCGTACCTGTGCATGAATTTCGTGTGCTGGGCCTCTAGTCTCATTATAACTGATTGAAATTGTATGAAATTTTATTTAGTAAAGAAGTGTCTGGGAACAGTCTGGGGCTAAATATTACATGTACATAAATTTTAAGTGAATTAAACTTTTAAGTATACAAAAGAAGGTTTGATAAAGTATATAATAAACAACTCACATATTAAATATATTTTTCCCTGAATGGTGTTACTCTGTGTTTTTTACTTTTTATATACCTTTATGCCTTTATATATTTTCCAGGGTCACATTCCAACAACAATAAAGCATGCACAATCTTTATAATGAGAAAAAGATTGTAAAAAGAAACAAAAGTAATATATACATGACATCTTTATTTTTAGAAATTACTTTAAATTAATTTTATATGAGCCTTTTCAAAAAAAATGTGTGCCCTTAAGGTCAGCTCAGAAACAGGCTGGGAATCCATCACCTGCTCTAGTTTCCCAAACTTCCCTCATTTGTACTGTTATATTGTCAATCAGTGAGCTAAATACAAGAGACCTTAACAAGCCAATTAATTAGGAGTCTTTATTAATGTCAGCGGGCCCAGAGGGAGATATCTCCCAAATTTCTGAACAAAAACATGGAGGAAGCTTTCCCTATTTATATCTTTCCCAGTCATTTGTCTCCCAAATATGGGGGTTCTGGACCTTCTGCAGATTTTACAAAGAGCTCTGTGTAAGTTATTTTTGCAGGCAGCTTGTAACCTTGAGCACATAACTAATAAACACCTGGCATGAGAGTATGGGAGTAGTATCAGCCCCTTATGTCAGATAGCTAGCCTGCAAGATCAGACAGCTAAGTTTATCATCTCTATTATTCAAGCTAAAAAGCAACATTAATTCACAGAACAAGGCACTGTCTAAAAAATAACAGAGTTGATTACTTAGAACAAGGAATCATTTAAAAACAGCAGAGGATTTTAAACAGTAATTTTACAAAATAAAGATTATTATGCTTCAGTACACCAACTTCATGCTTTTTTGCCAAAATCTGTGTATGACCTTTATCATATATATTTTAAATTTTATCTTTTTTTACTTCAAAACATTGAAAATGAAATAGTATATCCCAATCCCACCTGGAAAATGGTGATAATTTTCCATGAGAAAAGGAAAGCATCAAATAAATAGAATTCACATAATAACATTAAATTCCAGCCAAATACCATTTCTCATTCAAAGGTTCTGATCCTGAGGTTTGATTTCTTTTTGTTTAAAAAGAAAGTTTACCAAGATCTTGAGGGGGTTAAAGATAACCCAGCATCACACTGTGAGTTTCTCTTTGTAACAACTAGAAATGCTAAATTAGACTTGAAACGTGTGCATCTATATTAATCTTGAGGCCCTTGCATGCTGCCTGGGTGAATTGTCGTCCTCTCTTGCCCTCTGGCAGGGTGAATGGAATTCCTCCCTTCCACACTGGCTGGGTTGGGCCGCCCACTGTCCAGTATTGTAAACATTTATATCGGTTTCACTTGTGTTCTTTTGATTCACTGCTTGTCGGTGTTTGATGTACAGCATAGGAATTTTAAGAAAAATCTGAAGACTCTTCTAGCCACCCCCTGCCAGCCTGGCTGTGGTCAGAGGAAGAAGCTGGGATCCCCTCATAAGGCTGCCCAGCTTGAAGACAGCTTTCTTTGGTTGTCCCCCCCGGGCTCCACCACAGCTGCTGGTGCCGTGGGTGGCGGGGGAGGGCTGGGCTCAGAGTGTCAGTCCTTAATTCTAGACTGCGTCAGGGCGTTGTGGCCATGCTGGCTGGGTGAGAGTGGTCCTCCTCTCTTGGGTGCTGGCTGGGTGAGAGTGGTCCTCCTCTCTTGGGTGCTGGCTGGGTGAGAGTGGTCGTTCTCACCTGCAGTCTGATTGGGTGCTCCCTTGCATGCTGCCTGGGAGAGTGGGCATATTTGACCCCTTCTGGCCTGAATCTGCCCTCTACCTCAAGCCTTCACCACACTATTATCTATGTCTATGGGTTATGCATAGGCCTGAGTATTGAACAATGTTTGTCATACATATACAAAATATATAGCCTCATTTGAATATAACTTCAAAGATTTAAAGTCTGGGCTTTCTGGCCCTTCTCCTCAGGATGGAACTCCACAGAATCCCACTCTGCTTGAATTTCTCACTGGTGTGGAATAGGCCTCTGTCCTCTGCCTCTGAGGGATCATGGGGACAATGAGATTGGGGGAGGCAGCGAAGCTTCCTCAGGAGTCCCATTAGCATAAGGCTGTCTCCAGCCTGTCCTCCCAGACCATTTACCCAGCCACCTCCTTTCTATCTCTTATGGCCACCCTCTCTCCTGCAGCACTAGATCCTTTAGTCACCAATTGGTCTTGGTGAAGTACCCTGCCCAGTGGTGCCCAGCACTGCCCAGTGGTGCCTTCGTGGCTGAGTCACAGGTTGGCAGGGACTATTTAGACTGACCTCACCTCCGGACCTGGCTGTGGAACATCCCGGCCATGGCCACCTGGTGTGAGCTGGCCGCCTGTGTTGCTGGGAGAGTGGAACAGAGCTGTGCCACCAGAGTGTAGCAGCTGCCAGCTGGCCCTGGGTCTGGGAATCCAGGTGCAGGGGGCCACAGGGATTAGAGCAGAAAGAGCCAGATCCAGGCCTGTGGGGAAAAATGGGCTGGAGTAGGGCCCATGAGTCAGCCTCATGTCCTGGGTGGCTATTTTCTTGGCCTCCAAGAATCTTCCAAATTCTTTCTCACTTACTTTCCATTCCAAGGCCAGGACCATAGCTGTGCAGACCAAGTGCTGGGGGTTGAACTCCACACACCCACATTTCTCATACCCACCCACAATGGCAAGAGCATGGGTGTTACATGAGCCCCACTGAGAGGATTCCTGATCGGATTGTGTGCTACCTATGAGGTCACCCTATTTGTGGGAAGGTGGACTTGCCTAACGATCAGGAGGGGACACATCCTCCCACATGAGAAGCCAGGATTGCTCCAACAGAATGTATAATGAGGAGTTTTGTGTGCTGAGAGTTAAACAAGGATTGTCTCATCTCAGGGAAGAGGAAGGGGAAATGGTGGATCTGGACTAGAGATGCATTGGGATGGGCTCTGCCCAGAACTCTGGGACCAGCAAGCCCCGAGAAGTAGTTGTGTCTAGGATTAAGACAAGCTGACCACAAAGAGCTGCGATCCTGGGCATTAAAATGTGAAGCATCGTTGGCCCAGAGGAGGAGCACCAGCATTCTTCCTCAGAGAACCGTGACGTTCCAGAGCGAGAGGGTTGGAGAGCTTCCACATCCCTGTGAAGATCTGTTTATTATCCTAACACCAAGACAACCTCTGCAAAGAAAATGGCAGGTCCATCTAATTTGTGAATATAATAAATATACTTCCACATTATGTTAAAACTAGTGGCCCGGTGCATGAAATTCATGCACAGGGCGTGGGGTTTCCCTCA